AAACTTAGTAATAATATTAATAAATTTTGGATAAGAAAAAAATCTTGATTATATTTTAAGATTGTAATTGTCATTGATAAAAGTTATATGGAATATTGTTCATTTCATCTGTTTACATATCTTTTCTTAACCCTTTGTCTGCGGCGCGCTCTCGGACGAATCGAAAAAATACAGAGAGCGTATATTTACGCCTTTCGCGTATATATTGATGGACTTGTGAAGGCGTATATATACGCGCCTTTAGCAGTCAAAGGTTATGAGGTATAATAATCTTTATTTTTTTACAGCTTTACAGCCAAGTGGAATGACTTGGTTTACATTTTGTTTTGTTCCTTAACATTACCCTTCATTCCTTAATATTAACACTCCTTATTCCTCGTCTCCGGTATTACCACTCTTTTTGCGTTAACTGTTCTACCTGTCCTCGTTCTTTTAACTTCAAGCCTATCTTCTGCTTCATCGTCCCTGTCGCTCCCTATCTTATTGACTTCATTCCTCCTGCTTCCGCTCTGTTTTCCCACCATTTCCAACGCTCGCCTGGCCTAACTTCACTTTCTCTTTTCCTTCCTCCTTACTACTTTATTTCTACACCTTCACTTCCTTTATCTCCTCGTTTTCTCCCGCTTCTTTTACACCCATTATTACTTCTCTTCTTTTCCTACATCCCCTTAAATTTCAAATCTCGCACTCCTCACTCACGCGTGTACTGCTTCATCAAACATTCCCTCTACCCAAGTCCTAGACAAAAGGTTAAATAGCTATAATCTTGATTTATTAGTTATAGGTCAAGGGGTGGTACTAGAGATTTCAGTAATCGAAATGTTGGGACAACAGCATATTGGAATGGTCAACAACAACCTCAGAAAGAATTTAATGCTAAGAAACAAAACCCAAATCAAAAGAAAATACCAGGAGATTTATTAAAAAAGCCTAACTGGGATTTAGCTGCTCTTCCAGTAATAACAAAAAACTTGTATATTCCACATGTTAATATTTTAAAACGAACATCAGAAGAAATCAGCAAATATCATTCTGGCAAAGAGATCACTGTTAAAGGAAATAATACTCCGCCTCCAATTCAAGCTTTTGAAGAAAGCAATTTCCCAGATTATGTAATGGAAGAAATAAAGAAGCAAGGATTTGCTGAACCTACTGCTATACAAGCCCAAGGATGGCCAATTGCATTAAGTGGGCGTGACATGGTTGGAATTGCACAAACTGGCTCAGGCAAAACTTTAGCGGTATATATATTTTATGGTCCATATATAGAATGTAGTTTCATAAACAAAATTATTATAAAATTTAACCTTATTAATGGCTTAATCACTTCCTAGCTTTATTTGTTTGTTATTTTAACTTTTGTGTTCATATTTTTGTACATATTTTGTTGCTTACAAGGTCTTGCAATATTTTAATTCCGCTCCTGATAATGTCTAACATATCTTTTTACCTATGACCTGCATCTTAACACTTGACTGCCACGTCACTCCTATTGGGGTGATGTTTATTTAACTACTTGCGTAGAACGTTCGTATGTGTTTGAAAAGATATTTCACAGGGTAAGTAACAAAACTATTGAATATTATTTGATATAAACTATATTTATTAGTATAAATGACTTCTGCCGACCACTAAATTCATTCCATTCGCCAAATTTAATTGTATTTTCCTCGGTATCATCAGTCCTTCTGTCTTCATCAATGATCAATTCTTGCAAAATCTCGTCAATTGAATCTTTATTGCATTCAGTATCACTATCATTGCACTGATCAGTATCCGAATCGGAATCAGATGATGTAATTCTATTTACATTCCTATTTCTAGGAAATCTGATTTCTTCCTCATCACTGCTATTTGTGAATTTGTATAAGCCTCGTAAAAGCTTTCTTGTTCACTGCTATTTGACTCTCTAACAATTAAGTTTTCCCTTTTTCTTTTCGACATTTCAACGAATTAGGGTAGAGATTTTAAGTTATACCGCTCGTTACTCGGCAGAGTCAAACTGATCCTATACAGTGGCGAAATAAGAAACAAATGCGAAGTAATGAAAATAAATGACCGAGCATCATACCACGAAAACCAAACGGGGCGGGAGGTTATTCTTGTGACAATTATCGATTGCGATTTGCATTTTTTAAATATTGGTGGGAATGAAAACCCAGCACAATACGCTACGTACAGCGATACGCGTGGCAATCAACGTGTTAATCGATGTAGTAATATCTGGACTAGTGTATAATTGACATAATTCTAAGTTGTGTAATTTTCTCCAATCACCCCTTTTTTCATCACGTTTTGTCCCGATGATTCATTAAAGTACAGGTAATCCCTGAAGAACACGATTAATTGAATCCGTGTTCTTTGAAACTACAAAAAACGGGATTCCGCTTCAAGGGTGAAAATAAAAAAGGTTAAGTTTAAAATTTTTTTTTGTTCAGTATAAAATTAAAAATTTTTATTTTTTGAATTCATATTAGTAAACATTTCGAAGACAAATTTTGTATTACATAATTCAAATTAATTTTTTAATTAGTTGAATAAAAACATATGCATTCTTTAAATTAATTCTTTTCTTAACCTCTTCTTTTATTTCATTAGTTTAATTTAGAAACCTATGACAGACAGTCTATAACCTAAAGTAATAATATTTAAATTCGTTATATATCATTACTTTAAAAAAGACAATGAACATTTTTTTATAAACTGAAAATTGATTTCTTTTTATTTCTAAACGTGTACTTTTGTTTATTAAATTCTCGTTTTATTGACATGCGAAAAATGGTTACTGAAACAAGTGATAGAGAAGAGGGACAGGACTAATACTATCCATTACATTAATTACATAATGACAAACTTTATTTAACACCATGATTGTGTCAGTATTTTTATTATTCAAGATTTTATAGAAATAAATTTTTGGCCAAAAAAACACAATAATGATGCTGCAGCCACCGTATTCCTCAGATCTGGCCGCCCCCTATGACTTTTTCTAGTTCCCAAAACTGAAAAGCCCCATTGAAGGACGACGCTACGCTACGATTGAGGAAATAAGACGGTATCGAAGGAGGAGCTGAACAAGGTCACTAAAAATGATTTTTTGAAATGCTTCGAGGATTGGAAAAAACGTTGGCACAAGTATATAATATCTGATGGGGATTACTTTGAAGGGGACAAATGCAGCATCATTATTGTGTTGCTTTTGGCCAAAAATTCGCGCATAAGCAACGATGTGTGAGCAGGGGCGTTATCATGGTGCAAAAATCGAAAAATAGGTAAAAATCGAAGACAAGCCAAAACACGTCTAAGCAAAATAGCTGTTAAAAATTTACTGAACATTCAAAGTGGTCAAGTTTGTCAGCATGAGTGAGGGACATGAGTACCGACATAACGTCACCAAAAAATTGAAAATCGAATATACGTAACCCGTAGGAATTCAAAATTCGCGATACTTTTGGAACAGACTTTGTATATATGACCAACGTATTCCCACTATCATACATAGATTCCTTACACACTTTACTGACCGGCCGCTCAGCTGCAGATACTCTCTGACATCAGCTGTTTTTGGCTTACACTAGCGCACGGGAGTATCTGTGTGTTTCGTATGCTCCGAGAGAATTGTCCGCTTTCTGTTATTACAGGATATATTAGGATATACAGGATATTACAGGATAGGATAATTAGATTTAATAAAATGTTGATAACAACAATGCAACAAAAGCAATTGTTCGGTAAGCGTGGGCGATAAAAAGCCGATTGATAGTCGATCGATTGGTTAGCGTTGTCGATAAAAAAAATCGATTAATAGGCGATCGATCAGTAAAGTGTCAAGCATTGACAGTTAGAGAGTTAATGTTTCACTTCTTATGTATATGAGCGTTAAAATCCTTTCCCAAGTAATTATAATTAATGATTAAGTATAATTTATATTATAATTATATAATTATTATATATATAATTTAATTATTATATTATAATTATATAATTATTATATTATATTATAAGTAATTAAGTATAATTAATGATTGAGCCGTTCACTGCACAAACCGATTAACTCCATAAAACAAAAAGTGAGGAAAAGCGATGATATAATGTGCATTGTTTTTTAAAATTCCGTTTTATAATATAAATTTAAATAGATTTTGTAGAAAAGGAAAAGCGCTTGCTTGCTAGTACATTGAGTTGCATTACTGCAACGATTTCCATTAGAGTACGGAGTTAATCAAAATATAACTTCTGAAATAAATTATTTATTATTCAGTGGTCAAAAAAATTTTGTCGTTTAATGGTATTAAACTTTTATGTTTGGGAAAATTTGTATAAGTATAAATATAAAAAGTTATGATTATACCAAGTGCTTTTACACTAAAATTGAAGATTTTTTAAAAAGTTGAATCAATTGATTTGTGCAGTGAATGGCTCAATTATAAATAGAATTATAAACAATAAATAACATAAATTTATCTTTTGGCGTGTCTGGGATGATACGTTTTTTTCAAAGATATTCGTCGTACAGACACACGAAACATAATTTTTTGAAACGTACACTGAATTTAATGAGTGCAAGCTTCGTAAACGAGAATTTCAAATCTTCCAAAGGGAAGCAGATTTGGTTCACATTTAAAAAAACTGATCTCTCTTCACCCAGTTTTGACGCAAACCACATGCGTTTTCTCATATCGCAAAAAATGTATCGTCCCAGGCACATCAAAAGATTAATTTATGTTATTTGTTATGTGTTTGTATTTTTTCCTTTATTTTTACATTAGCTAATTTTTTGACAGAGTTTAATGTTTTCTATAAATTAATCTATTTTCTATACTGCTTGTTATTACCCTAATCTTTACTCTATAATAATTTCTTTCCTTAGAACCTTTTTCTTTGCATATGCATTCTCGTGCCTCTAATTTAACAAATTTAACTGTGCATCAGTAATTTGTATATGAAAACTAAAAAATGTATTACGTATTGATGATAGTTAATAAGTTAACTGGTCGTTAGTGATCTCACGGCGCTATAAAGCAGTCCTGCAACGCCGTTTATTGGTTGTAAAAAAAATGTAAGCGTGGTAGAAAAATCACGTAAAAAGTGCCGGCAGTCAACGTGTTAAGAAAACTTAACCGAAATATATTATCTATTATTTTACATTGGTAACTTTATACTTTTTTATTTTCAGTATATCCTTCCTGCAACTGTACATATTAACAATCAACCTCGATTAAGTCGAGGTGATGGTCCAATCGTTTTAGTTCTTGCTCCAACTCGAGAATTAGCACAACAAATACAATCAGTAGCTAAAGATTTCGGTTCTTCATCATGTATTCGAAATACGTGCATTTTCGGAGGTTCTCCAAAAGGGCCACAAGCAAGAGATCTTGAAAGAGGAGTTGAAATTTGTATTGCTACACCAGGCAGGCTTATTGACTTTCTGGAAAAAGGAACAACAAACTTGCGAAGGTGCACATATCTTGTTCTTGATGAGGCTGACAGAATGTTAGATATGGGATTTGAACCACAAATTAGAAAGATTATCGAACAAATCAGACCAGATCGTCAAGTTCTAATGTGGTCGGCAACATGGCCCAAAGAAGTACAAGCTCTTGCAGAAGATTTTCTTACCGATTATATTCAAATCAATATTGGTTCGTTGACTTTGGCTGCAAACCATAATATTCGTCAGATAATTGAAATTTGTCAGGAACATGAAAAAGAATCCAAACTGTCCAATTTATTGAGAGAAATCAGTGGTGAGCGTGGAAGTAAAGTAATTATTTTTGTTGAAACTAAAAAGAAAGTAGATGATATTACAAAGTCCATTAAGCGAGAAGGTTGGTCAGCTATCTCTATTCACGGTGACAAATCACAACCCGAACGAGATTATGTATTATCTGAATTTAGAAATGGAAAAACTATGATCTTAGTTGCAACAGATGTAGCTGCACGTGGCCTGGATGTAGAAGATGTCAAATATGTTATTAATTTCGATTATCCAAATAGTTCGGAGGATTATATTCATAGAATAGGTCGTACTGGACGATGCCAAAGTGCGGGAACAGCTTATGCTTATTTCACTTCGAATAATGCGAGACAAGCTAAAGAATTAATATCTGTTTTGGAAGAAGCTGGTCAGGTAATAAACCCTCAATTAGCAGATATGGCTAATTCTATAAGAAATCAATTTGGAAAGGGTCGACAGCGTTGGAGTTACGGTCGCTTTACAAAGGATAATAATTCAGGAGGAAGTCCTAGAAATAACACTAGCCCTACCATTAATAGTTGGCAAAATCATCAGAGTCAAACCAATCAACACCAGATTGTTAGAAATCCACAGAGAATCAACATACACCAACAGCAAAATGATTATCAAAACACTCGTCAAAACTCCTACCAGCAATCTGCATACCAATTACAGCCACAGCCACAGCAACATCAACCACAACAACATCAGCAGCAACAGCAGCCCGTGCATAATCAGCATCAACAACAGCAACAACAACAACAACAACAACAACAACAGCAGCAGCATCAACAACAGCAACAACAACAACAACAACAACAACAACAGCAGCAGCATCAACAACAGCAACAACAACAACAACAACCACAACAACGTCAACCAAATAATAATTTTCATCAAAGCGGATATCAATCTAATGGTAGTGCTTGTCAACCGGCATATCAAAATAGTAATCGATATCAAGTCAGACCAAGCAATGGGTATCAAGGAAGTCGATACAATGCTAGACAAAATGGATATAGTAATGGTCAAAGCAGTCAAAATGTATATTCAATGCCACCAACATTCATCATGCCATCAGGTGGACATACCGATTCCGGGATACAAAGCCTCGTCAATAACAAGTTCTTCCAAACAAACCGACCACCTCCGAATACAGGAGCTTGTGCTTATCAATCAATGGGATATGGGCAGTTCCAAGCTGTGCCGCCATATGGTTATCCTTATCCACCAACACAGGTACAACAGTGACGCATTAAATGGAAATCAGCGGCCATTCAAGCTAAGTAAAGTAATTTCTCTATTATCCGTTTCTCTTTCCCAAATAATATTTATCAATTTGTGTCGAATGATGGGTTTTTTTTTGGGTAATATTCTTAATGTACTTTGTTTGTTTCACACTCGCATGAAATGATGCTGATTAAGAGGAGAAAACGACTTCAACTTTTTTTCTTATGCACCATTTTTACGTCGACAAATGTTAGATTATTTAAAGTCTAATCCAGTGATTTTAATAGATGATGAGTTTCTAAGGAAAATTCATTATAATTAACAAAAAAAAATTAAATAGCGTATAATTACATTTGAAATTTATTCACTGTCAAAACGTAATACAAACAATAAATTGGTTTGATCCGAAGCTCATTTCAAGCGAGTATTAAGTAATAAATAGTTCTTTAGAGAAGATAGAAAGTAATAATATCAGTTATATTCATAGCTTATGATCACAAAGGTAGATAACATTGATCACATCTCTTTATGGTAATTTAACGATAATCTTGTATTGCGATAACTATATATAAAATTATAATATGTATGTGTATACATATATACATATATATAATATAATTTTATTTATGTGTGTGTGTATATATATATATATACATATATACATATATATATATATATATATACAAACAAAACTTACCTGTATGCTATTCTGAAATGCACGAAACATATAGAAGGGGGGAGGGTGGGTAGGTAGAGTCGATAATTTATAATTTATTTAATACTTTGCGTACATGCAGGTGATGCTCTTCAAAAAGTAAGGCCTTTTGCATAAAAATTAAGCCGTGCACCCTTGCAATTGAAATACGATATATGTATTGAAAAAAATAAATGAATAAGAAACTTCACTGAAGATGTAATTTTCTTAGATACAAAAGATAGGATGAAAAAGTACGATTGAACGTCGGGGAGAAAATAGGAGGAAAAAGTGATTAATAAATAAAAAAAAGGGGAGATTAATATATCATTATAAAAATATATCGTGCTTCGATGGATTCATAACGTTATTATACACAGAGGCAGCAAAGGGGGGGTATGGGTTTTTAGGTGTTAGAAGTAATTGAGCGCGTAGTCACTATGGCTGTGCACTTTGGAACAAAGTTCGATATCTTATTTTTATATATATATATCAAAAATAATTTGTTGTTAAGCCAACGAATGATTATATGAAACATTGTTGTTTGATGTTTATGCAATTGGCCACCGAGTGGTCTTGCCTTTGCGCGTCATCGTACGGGGCACGCGTTGGTTAGCCGCAATCCATGAGATTTTCAATCGTACATGTTTTTTAGTTTGCGTGTCGAAATCTTTCGCACATCACTTTCAACTTTGGGGGAAAAGAATTAAAAAAAAAAAAAAAATAAAGAAGAAAACATAAACAAAGAAAAAGAAACTAAGCAAACTACAAAAAAGGGACACTACGACATTTTTATTACTAATGTAAATGTTTGATAAACTGTATGAGGTATGCCACTACCTTTAACGTAGTAGGTAATAAGTGTAAACAATATACGAACGTAAGTGTTGTAGCGTTTAAAGTTACTCTAGCGAAAAACAAACCGTATTAGAAATTCGCAACAGCATAGGAGGCAAGTTTTGCAAACCTGCGGATACTCGATAAAAAAAATGTTAGCGCGCTCAAGGCGAAAGTATTCGGTTGAAATAAGAGATAATGGGCGGGAGGGGGGTGGGGGTGGGGGGTTGATTAAAATAAAATACCAATGACAAAATAAACATACAAACGAACAAACAAACAAATTTATATATATATATATATATATTTATGTATATATAAAATGTGTGTCAGAAAAATTACGAAGAACCTTTATTCTTTACGTCATATACATATAGAAGGTGTTAAAAGAAAAACTATTCAATATTTATATAGTATATAGAATATACTATACTAAGTAAAAAAATATTAGTAAACATAGGTCAAAAGATCAAGCATTTCTGAAATATAAACCTTTTTGTATGTTATTATCATAATTGACTATGTTGATAAGGACTTTTTTTACTCAGTATAATAATGTGTTCTATATGTTGTATAAATATTGAATAGTTTCTTTTTAACACTCTGTATATGTAGGATACGTGAAAGGTTTGAACCGTTGGACTGAGTGTATAGTTTTAAAGGTTAGAACAATTTATTATAGCTGAAAGGTTCGGGTTCGAGTTCTAATTCAATCAGATCAATGGGGACAGATTTTTTCACTAATTCTATATATCTTTTTATTTCTGTTTATTCTTATTTTTATATCTTTCGCGATTTTTCTAAAATTCCCATTAATCCATTACTTGTTGATTACGCACAATATTTAAAACAAAAAAAAAAAAGAAAAGAAAAAAAGAGAGGGAAAAAATGATCCTTTAACCGCGGTGTGTGCTTAAGCCATTTAATTTAATATTATCGTGTCTCTGACATCTTATTCCTGACGAGTGCATTATTATGCCATTATTGATGGTCCTCTTTAATTAATGACACGACTATCAACATTATTTGTTTTTCTACACACTGTTAGATCAGAACTTGAAAATCTTTTTAAAAGTTCTAATATATTTTGGGTTTTCTTTTTCATTTTTCTTTCTTTATCTTCTTCTATCTTTATCTTCTTCTCCTTCTTCTTCTACTTCTTCTTCTTCTTCTTTTCATTTATTTTATTTTATTTTATTTTTTCCCCCTCCAATTCATCGATCCGATCGCTTTATTAGGCGTTGAATCGAATAGTTAATATATGAATAGAAAGCGAATATTGTGAGTATAAAAAACTCTTAACGTTTTCGCATATTTGCGTGTGCCCTCTATCGATGCTTATTCATTCATTCATTCATTTATTCATTCATTTATTTATTCATATATTCATTTCATCTCAAGCGTATTATTATTATTATTTTGAACATTTTATAACGATTCATATATTATGATAAATAAGAAAGAAGAAACGTTATTGTAAATTCATAGCTCGTATAGTCTCCGTCCTATAATCTTTTTCGGTACTTGATACGATAATATGAACATTAACAACGCATTTGCATCCGAGAACGGAATTATAAGAATACAAATTACATTTATCAACGTATTTTGCACGCAACTCGGGTACAAATCTATCGAATAATATAATAAATCATTGTTATAAAAATCTATCGTTTTTTCTTCTTTCTAAAATTAACAGTATAGAAAGGATGAAAATGTTAATAATAAAAAAAAGTTAATTCGGATGTTTTTTAAGTCATAATTAACAACATTTTAACTTTCAATGACACGGTTAATTTGTTCCATTTTCTGTATCTAAAATCGTGGATACAAAATCAGGGAAATGAAAAATTCTCGCACTATTAGTGTAGAGTTTTTCAAGTTTATTAAATTGTTGTATTGTATCGAAAATCGTGTCTTTGGAGGAATCTGTCGCCATTTATTATCCCCACCGTGTTATATAAGAGAATTGAGAGAGTATGTATCGTCGTGGAAATTCGACGAGATAGAAATTATGCTCTCTATTTACTTTTGTCGTTGTTGTCAATTGTCATTTCTTTAAGAAAATATTAAAGTTATTCACCAGAATCGCGTTTATGGTGGTCCCTATCCATTCCTTTGCTTTTTGTTACTGATTTTTTTTTTTTTTTCTTCTTCTTTTAAATATATAATACATACATTCAGGTTGATAGTGGGTGCACGCGTAAATCTGTGATATGTAAGATGTAGCGTATTAATAGATCTACTGTTCTGTCATGCATGATGATTAAAGTAGGAGACGTGTATCTCATCGGTTTTTGATGACGTGGGTAATACCATATCATATATATCTCGGTGAACTTCCATCGCAGCCTATTATTATCAGTAATACAGAAATTGTGGATGACTAATTTTACTGCCTAAGATATATTGTTACATCTTCAAGTACATAAATATTAATTCATTGTTATACACACCACAGGGGTAGAGAGAGTTATTTCATTTAATATATTAATTATTTAATAGTAAACATATATGTGTCATTTAGAAGTTATGCATCTCTTATACGATCATTCAAATCGTTTATAGAAATTCGTACTTGTTGTTGAAATAAAATTAAAAAGAAGGGAAAAATAAGAAAAATCTTAGGCAGTACAATCAGATGAATCTCTACTGTATGAGAAAAGAAGGAAGCCGTGAAAGATGAAAAAAGAGAAAACAGTATTTTTGTGAATCCGATATGAAGGGAATTCCATTCTATTTGATCATTTAAAATACTTTAATCGTTTTCGACTATACGAATAACAATATATTCATCGAATATATTCCGAAATATTAAAACTTGATATATCAAGGTCACCCTTTGTTTCGTATTTTATCTTATAATCGAAAACGAATATGTTTTAGATGATCTAGTTTATAATGTGGTAACACTCTTTATATATTTCCGACGCGTTAAGCGGATAACAAAGTCGGGTGGTAATGACATAATGAGTCATACTAATTGTCGTTCATCATCGTGCTTGGGTGAATTCATAATACATATATGATTTTTTCATGCTTTGTTTAGACATTTCTTCTTTAAATCTTTTACAAAGAAGCAATTTAAGGGTTTCTCTTCCATTTATATATTCGTAAGGTTACATTTTGTTTTTGTTTTTCCCTTTTTCTTTTTATATTTATGTATATATATTTTTGTTTGTTTTTTTTTTTCTCTTTTTTTTTTTTTACGTTGAACTTGATTCACGTCGTTATATTCCTCGTGTCCTATTTGTTAAAAAAAAAAAAAAAAAAAAAAAGGAAAGAAAATAAATAATAATAATAATAATAATAATAATATATCTCTCTCTCTCTCTAATGGCTCAACACGATGGCCAATTAAAATATATTTTAAGCATTAAACGAATAGCGCGAGTACCGTTAATAATGGTGGTTGCATGTTGTACATATTTAATCGAAGAGGGACGGTAGCAGTCTGTATTATGATACGACACGGTAACAAAACTTTGCAAATGCTTTAGTAAAGTTCACAATTATATAAGTATAATAGTAGACTCCCGTATATCGCGGTTCATATGATGTTACGTGCTATATAAATTCGCGTTACAGAAAATTACTTTCAATGAAAATTATTCTTGTATCTCGCAATTCTTTTTTTTCCTTCTTTTTTTTTTTTTTTTAATAATTAACATTATGCTAGTTACATTGGTGTCTAGCTACATTAAATTAATAGTTCGCGTCAAATCTGTAAAGTCGAGCAACATGTGAGCGCACGGTTAATAAAATGAATGGATGCGACCTATCCTGAGAAACAAAAACTATGTTGTACTGTTGACTCTAGAAAAATGGTAAAAAGATGAAAGTAAAATAAATAATTAACATTATGCCACATGCAATCCGATTATCGATTGTTAATGACACTGCTGCGGTGAATGTCATTATTCAAAGCTGATTGAACAAATTTCAATTACACGTAATGGCGGACGTGATAGAGTATTAATATAATAATCAATATGTATATATAAATATTAAGAGAAAATTGTTCTTTGTTTTTTCGCAAACGTGATAAAAAAAAAGTGCTCAAAATTACAAATAAAAATAACAATAATTACGAAACGGAAAATATCACTACCGACGGTAATAACAATGTAGTTAAATCTTAATTCAAGCACATTTCATTTTTAAATACCAGAAATTCACATATTTTCTTTTTTTTTTTTTTTTTACCGTGTAGTACAAGGATTCGCGTTATAGGAACTCGTGTTATATATGAGAGTCTACTTATATTTGAAAATGGTAAAGACAAAATACGTACGAAGATCGCATTCTTCCTCTCGTTATTTTATCCGAATTAACAAAATGGAGGGATTAAAGGAAGGAGAATAATAAGGGGTTTCTATTATTAAATCTATAATAGTATAATCAAAGCTTTAGAAGTATCAGAAAAATTAACCTCTGTTGATCGTATAAAATTATCAACATTTGTTTATTTTTCTTTTTTTTCTTTTTTCTTTTTTTTTGCATTTGAGATTAAAATAAATCAGAAAGTGTAGAATTTCTCTTTAACACATTCTCCACTATGGAAATCGCCAGCAACCATTGAAAAAGTATTCTTCATTTTCTTTTTATCTATTAAATTTTATTATTATCATTATTATTAATTATTAATCCATTTCAATTAGATTTAATTATCTATTATATAAGAATTAATGTATCAATATTTCTGATTATATATGAAAAAATTTTTCTTATTATTTTAATTAATTTTGTTCTATTTATATTTCTTGTATATTATGACCAAATTTATTTTTAACCATAATAAATGAGAATAAATAAATAACATAAATAAAGGAAAATATTTTGTATAATGGAGAATATGTTAAAGATTTTTTTTGTTTTTCTTTTTTCTTTTACGGGAGCCTCATTGCAATTTATGTTAGTAAAATCTTCTGAAATCTATATGGAAAATTTGAAAAAATATCTGGCAATTTTTGATCGTAGATATACTAATATAACTGTCAGGAAAGAAAAGAAAACAACGTAAGTAGGAATGCGGTATAGTTAATAAAAGAAAAGTGAACAGCGTTTACGTTTTTTACTAAAGATTATTAATAAATGGGTGTATACAAGAGGAACTTCTTTTTTTTTTT